TTTGCAAGCCTCTCACTGCTATATTGCTATTTCCATAGCATGTGTTCTGATGAGCTACATTCTATTACTTCCCAACAGCCCTGACCTTTGCATCTGAAACCTGTCATGCCATGTACACAAGGATGAATCATCCTCAGTACCTTCGTATTCCATCAGTAAGGAGGAAATTCCACTTGGCTGCTGTGTGGAACATATTACAGTAGGATGTTTTCCCAATCATTACAATCTTGATTTAGGCTTGTACAACATCATACAGTAACACTCTACCTTGAGTGGCTCTTGGGCTCTGTACTGGTGAACATTAGTATATTAAAAATAAAATCATTAATTTAGAATGTAATATGAACCTAAAGTGTTCCTTTCTTGTTAATTCTGTTTTTAAAAAAATCATAAAATATTTAAGTAGAATGTAAAATTTTATGTTGGCAAAAATGTTAAATGAAGAGTTGTATATGGATTTGTGGAAAATGAGACTGAAAGAGGTGACTAAAATCAGAGTCCTGCCAGATGAAACTTCACTGACCAAATGGATCAGAGTATTGTTTACTCTTGAGACATGGAATATAAAGTTAAGTCTCATTGGATGCTGCTAGTTTATTCCAATATTTCAAAACGGTTTCCTTTGATGGTTAAATAATTGAGCAGCTGAGAATGTTATGATTAAAAAGACAAAAATTAGACAAAATTATTAATGAGAAGATTTTGTTTCAGAATCTTAAAAAATCCATGAATGAATGGAGAATATTCAATTTTCAGTTTATTTTTATTCTTATTTTATTTATCATTTCATTTGTTGGGGGCAAAAGTGTTTATTCACAGTTTACCAGAGAAAAAGAAGTATAGAAATATTGACAACCCTATGTCATTGATTCTAAATGCCATGATGTAAACTGAACATAATTCCTTAAAATAAAGACAAATCCTGTAAAACTCATATAAATAATTCACAAAAGGATATAATTATTGCTAAACCTTAAAGAACACTAAAACACATTTTAGTCATATTTTATAAAGAATCATGTGCACAATAAAATTATTTTCCTTGTGATTTGCCCTTAAAAATGCCTGAAGTATGATGACAAATGCCTTGCAATTACCATAAACAACGCACGCAAGAATATTAACCCTTGTTAAGGTATTAAAGAATTTAAAGGAAGGCTTCTTTTATTATTTCTAATTTTAATGTATTTATTTTAAATATATTTTTAATGAAGAATTTATTTATTTTATGTTATTTTATTATGTATGATGGTTGCCAAACTGAAATTTATTCTAGAGAAGTGGTGTAAAAACATTTGATGGTATAAAGTAGAGTATTACTGTACATGCATATATAGATTTAGTGAATCTGGTATGTAATTTCAGTTGTAGATGAGTTTTTTTAATCTGTAGCTGCTTCAAATATCTCTTTGGGAAAAGGAAGTCACTTGGCATAGATTTGTATATAGAAGCTGACATTTTTTTAAGTTCACTGACCAACTTACCAATTTACCTAGGTACTTCCATGAGATCGCCAAAAAAAGAGTATAGCATGATGAAAAAGACACCAAACTTGACGAAAACAAAATTTTATCATCTAAATGTTTGTTATTATTAAGAGGAAAGATCAAAGTATTTTGGGGGTATTTTTTTTCCATTTTTTAATCGTTCCTAGCACGTCCGAAATTTTTGTTAAAAATCAAGTTTTTTTTTTGAGTCAGCAAAATTGACCATTTTTTTCCATTTAAAAAAAAAAAAAACTGGAAATCTCACTTTGAAATTTTTTTAAATATCAATTATCATTTTTTCAAAACTTATTTTAAGAAAATCAGAAATTATAATGTTTATTTAAAATATTTTGAACCAAACTTAACTTAGCTTTTGTGCCAAAAAGATGTAATTTGAAAATAAAACAAAGCAGGTCATAAATTTTCGCGTCTCTTGACAGGTTATGAATGACATATTTACGAATTCCATGAGGCTAATTTGTTCTACGGAAAGAGAAAAGTGAAATAATTTACATTTAAGTGAACAAATTATTTACCTCGTTATTTTTAGCGAAAACTTTCAGCGGTCTAATTTTTTTTTTTTTTTTTGTACTTAGCTTTCACCTTTACGTTTATGATGCTTTATGGAAAATATATTATAAAAAAATTAAAATAAGACTGTTAAGAGTGACATTAAATTTCTTATTTCCTAAGAAAGGTATCTAATTAATTTATAGGTACCTTTCTTACGAAATTTTATCAGAACTGTACATAAAATACTATAATTTTATGTACATTTATTACATTTTACTGTTATTTGTATTTGCATTCATTTTATTATTAATTTTGATATTTCATTTATGGAAAAATGTCATAACTGAGATTAATATAAAAATAAGATCATATAAATTTCATAAGATGATACTGATACTTGTAGGTACCCTTCTCAGTTGAAATTGAAAAATCAAATTAACTTCTCCACACGTGTTTCGCAAAATTAAAGGCCTAAACAGCGGAGAACAATGCTTAACTCAAATAACACAACTTAATTATATTCTGATTGATCTTCCGTACTTTATAATTACAGCCTGGTTATAAGCACAAAATTACATTTCTTAATTACTGGGGATCTTCTGATTAGTCAAAATGATACAATTTACAACGCGCTAAAAAAAAGATCTGTCTCATAAGGACACTTAGGAAAGCCGATGCGGCTTTTAACTAATTTTGTAATATTTTAACAACTTAAATGTAAAATTTATTATAATTAAAGAAATAAAAAATAATTGTATTAAAAATTCATTTTTCATTGAAAAAAATTTTTTGCTTTCAGAAAATATTGTCCATATTCATAAAAACAACTAAAAGCAAATAAAAGCATTTGAAATTAAATAATATCTTTGTTTTATTGAGTTTTGTATGTTACAATTCAGAGCTGATTTTCAGGTACTGCGTATCCAATTAAAAACAAAAAAAAACATGATTTGCATTCCTCAAAGCCCTGTGCTTTTAATTATTGTAATCACTAAACCCGATGCGATTGAATTTCTAGCGTTTTCATAAATTAGTTGGTGGGGGGGTGATAAATATTTAAAAAAAAAAAACATATTTATAATAATTTTGATCATCTGTGAATAGTTCCTAAAAGTTTCATTAACGTCCGACAATTATTTCTATTTTTGCATGATTTTTTAAATTAATGTATGTCATATCAAAAAAACATGCTAAAAATTGTCTGTTATTTACTAGTTCCGCTGATACAAATAGAAACAAGGTTTTTTTTAATCAAAATTTAGAATGTTCTAAAAAGAAGGAAATATTTTTAAAAATAATTAAAGAAAAAATTTGGTCTTTGCACTTAATAATAACAAGCATTTAGACAATAAAATTTTGTTTTCAGCAAGGCTGGCATCTTTTTCATCAAACTATGCTCTTTTTTTAGCGATTTCGTGGAGGTACCTAACCTGTTTCAAAGTCTTGTATTTTCAATTTACTCATTCTCCTGAATATATATTCTTTGAATAAGATTTTTGCTTCAACAAAGCAATTGCAGGAATTTCATATTTGGTAATAACTAGATTTTCCAAGCATCCTGATAGATAATTCTTTTTAGTATTTATTGGTCTATTTCATCCGATTATACCTGATAGTCTTATATCTATTGTTATCACTCTTGGTTGAAGATGAGAGATATAACTGTCATGTTAGCAAGTTCAATAATCTGTTGCTAAAAGAAGTAATATAAATCTTGTCAAGTGTTGGTATTCAATTGAAAAGGTTTTTCTTACTAAATCATAGCTGATCTTTGGCCTTTTGGGTTTTGACCGCTAATTCTTATTGTCTTTTTTTTGTTCATATTTTGAATTCTGGTTTTACATTCAGCTGTCCATATGGCATTTTATAATGGTTCGTCATCATCTTAGCAATGCTGTCATGTATCTTTTGTTAATGTTTATATTGTGTTAGCATCAAACTTAATACTTTTGCACTGATAAAAGGCTCAAACCAAATTTCCTTATTAGTGAGCCATTATGACTTTTCAACATAACATTGACCACTTGTTCTGTTAAATTATATTAACCAGCAAGAATTCAAGTCAAGGAAGTCACTATCACTTCTTAGTCAACACCATAAACTAATGTAGTAGCAATAACTTTTATTTTAACCCAAAATGTCTTTCTCTCCATAGTCAGTATGATACTTTTAAAATCTGTAATATTTCCATTGCATAAATACTTATTCTTAAGAATTGTTAATCATCTTGGGCAGAGTTTATCCTAATGCTAGTGAATAAACAGAAAACTATAGAAATATTCAAAATTGAATCATTTAAACAGCATTCAAGAGGCATCATATCAGTGCTTATAACAAAATAGAAAATTTCATGTAAAATCTGACAAAAATAAAATTTAAAATATAATTAAGCATTTCACATGTTGTAGAAAACAGGTCATGAGGAATAACAAGGGAATTTTCAACAAATTAAAAACCTTTGTCTCCCGAAAACAGATAAATACAAAACTTTGCAACAGATTGTAGTCAGTCAATTTGAAGACGTCAGATCATCTATGCCAAGCAACTCTCTTTCTTCAAAGAGGAAAGTGGTTTAAAGATCAAAATACTCATGACAACTGAGGTTAGAAGCCTGCTTCTTCTATATTCTTGTACTTTCTTTTCTTGGGAAATTGAGTTATGACATTTAGTAAATGTATAAATTTTCTATACATAAGACAAATACATTTTTAGAAACATTTTAAATAAGACTGCTTAATATGAAAATATACACTGACATAACATTACATAAACACAAATGTTACCACAATTGTTGGCAGTTTATTTACAATATTAATTAGGACTGTGATAAATAACTAACAGGGTTATAAATGTTCAAATCCTTCTCTGTCTCTCTCTGAATAAGATAAAAAGGTTTCTCCTGGAAATTAATAGATTTTTTTCATAGAAGTCAATAGAGCAAACATGAAAATCTTACTAAACAGTAAAACAAATAGAAAGAAAAGAAACTATTGAAAAAAAATGGACTCCTCCTCATTTCAGAATTTATTTATTTTTCACTTCTTAACCTTGTACTTGTCTTTTATTTCTTCTGTTCTTTATTTTTATCTCTCCATTTTTTTCTTTCCTCTCTTTCTTTCTCTTTGCTTTTCTCTCTACTCTCTTTTCTCTCTCTCCTCTTGTCTCTTTTTTTTTCTCTCAATCTCTCCACTTTTCTCTCTTTTATCTGTATTGTTCTCTCTCCTTTTTTTTCTCTCTCTCTCTCCTTTTTTCTCTCTCTCTCCTTTTTTTTCTCTCTCTCTCTCCTTTTTCTCTCTCTCTCCTTTTTCTCTCTCTCTCTCCTTTTTTTCTCTCTCTCTCTCCTTTTTCTCTCTCTCTCTCTCCTTTTTTCTCTCTCTCTCTCTCCTTTTTTCTCTCTCTCTCTCCTTTTTTCTCTCCCACTCCTTTTTCCTTTCCCTCTCTTTCCTTTTTCCTCTCTCTCTCTCCCTCTCCACCACCACCAAAAAATAATTTAATAACCTTTAGTTAATGTAAAGGTGACATCTTAAATTATGTAAAACTTGTTACTAATATAAAATTAAATTTCTTTTGTCATAAATGGGATACACACCCTATGAGGCTTGAATTCACTTCATTTGTAAAATGGAGAGTAAGATTTGTTTGGTAATCATTGCTCTCCAATGAGATGCTCAGCTTAGTCTGACAAAAGGCTGCAAGGGGAACACCTTCTGAGAATCAAACTCTTTCAAATTAGCTACCAAATATGTTATATTAGTTATAATAAAATTGTTGGTTTATCTCAGAGAAAAACATTTAAACAGACCTTAAACTACTAAGAACAAATCATCAATCTATGAATAAATTTCTCTTGTGTAATTCCAACTTTTCACTTGAGTGAAGCATGTATTGTGATAGTCAAGAATTATGTCTGTTATCATCTTTCAAGCAGAAAGTAGACATTGAATATGTACTTTTGCTTATGTATAGATGCATATTGGATTCAATGAATAATTGAATAATTTTCATCTTTCACTTTAAAGCCAAGATTTAATCATCACCGAGCAGACTTTGAATTCACACCAATCATGATCAATAGTTGTACTCTCTATGAAGTTTCTTTCCTTGCTTTGAATGTCTATTGGGATTCAAGTTCAACCCAGACCTCAAGTGAAACTCATTTATATGATCAATTGCTTAAAGATGCTGGGAAAATAGTTGACTCCTTGTATTGCTCCAGAAAGTATCTGCCTTCTACTATGTTTTTATCTTTCAAGAGTCAGATTAGACCAAAAATGGCATATTTTTGCCATATCTGGGCTGGAGCAGATGAATTCTCACTATCCAGCCGTAAGCTGAGTTCAAAATTGTCTGCACAAAATTTAGCAGGTGGGGGTGACATTTTCTCTCATATCTCTATTACTATTTCCATGGCACATGTTCAAGTGAGCATTCCATTCTTTAGTGCCATCAGTTTACACCTTTACAGCCAAGATCCATCTTGCCATATCTACAGCATCAAATCACCTTCATTCCCTACATATTCTTTTGGTGAGAAGAGCATTTTCCACTGTGAAAGCTTCTTCCTATGAACTGTTACTTTATAGAACAGGCACCAGCTTGGATGCTTCTTTGACCATTACAATTTAACCTATTCAAGTCTATGGTCAATTGTTGTCAATCTATTGTCAATAACCTTATAATCGTTACTTCCTACTTATGTTCATATCACAAATCTTATTCTGTATTCCTCTACCTTGAGTGGCTCTTGGTGTTTGTGTTGGGTAGAATTTATTAGCAAAAAGGAATGGCCTTGAATATTATTATTTCTACCTTGTTGATCCTAGAGATTAAGTTTTTCTCTTTCAAAAAAAGATTGTTTGATAATGTGTCAGATTTACTCTTGCTAAACATTTTGTCATCACTTCAAACTTTAATTATTCCATATAAGCATGTTACACTGTTTGGCGGCAAATAAAAGAACTTTTTTCCCTTAAAAATTGCTCGGAATATCATCCAAAATTGATGTTTCCACTGTAAACAATCAGCATTTGCACCAAACCTAAACTCGTAATACTGTAATATTAAATATAAATAGTGGGGGGTTTTATTACAAATACAATTGTATTTTTTCCTGGATTTGTACAAATGATATCTTTAAATATGTGAAAACTGTATTTCCTTGTATTTTTGAATTCAGATTTTTAATTAATTTGTTAAGCAAATTGGAAATCTTTACTCTTTTTTTTTTCTTTTATTAACAATTTTGACAAATCCAAATAAAGTTTCTACTAAGGAAAATTTCTGTTTCCTCTTATTGTTTGGTGGGCATGTCACAAAATATCTGGGGGAATAGAAGGTTTTTCTTGTACTTTTGGCATAATTTCTCAGGTTTGTAAATATTTTCAGTCTGTCTGGGAGAGAGTTTCTGTATGTCAGTTCCAACTACACATGATGTTTTAGATCTTATACATTCATCATCAATTAGTAACTTGATCTGAAGATGATCAACACATGTTCGTCATTAGAAATTTTAGAAATATTAAAAAAAAAAATTGGAAAATGTATTTCCAGGAAAAAATATTTTTTTTTTTGTTTTTTAAGTTATAAATGTTAAAAGTTGAAAAAGATACTGTAAAGGGTAGTAATAATTTCTGGCCAGACTCTAAGAAGATCCGAATCCTTTTAGCAGTGACAAATGCTGAGAAATCACTTTACAAAAGACTTTATAAAAATCAATTACATAGTAATGTCAAGTACATTGGAAGGAAGTCAATATGTTTTTTCCATGAACAATGAAAAAACTGAAAACATCAAACTTTATATGAAAGAAAAACGTAATGGGTGAGTCAGAAATTTTTGTACATTTTTATTTAAATTCATTTATTGGTAAATAATCCTGTTTATTTTAAAATATTTGTTTAAATTGCATAAATCACAGAATATTGCTTGGTTTTATATGAACATAATTTAATATATAATTGCTTGCCTTAGGGTTAGGTTCTGTAAGCACAAACGAACAGAAAGATTTAATTTAAAACAAGAAAAACATAGCATTTAGCTTTAACAAATTACCCAGCATATTAAAAAGAATAAATCTTTGCCATCTCAGATATGAAAACTATTTAACTGCTATACAAACTTGGCTAATAGATGCCCAGATAGTGTTCAAGCAAAATCACTACCCCAGGCTGCCCCGAGAGTGTCCAAGCAAAATCAATTGTCCAGGCTGCCCCAAGAGTGTTCAAACAAAATCAATTGTCCAGGCTGCCCCTAGAGAGTTCAGGCAAAATCAATTGTCCACTATACCTAGAGTGTGTTGAGGCAAAATTATATCAGTAACCAAATTGATAAAATTAATAAATTTTGAAAATTCAGATCATTTTAGATTTAATGATTATTATTTCTTTTCTTTAGATGCAAAACTTAATCTTGGCAGGGTTTTATGACAACCACTTCAGTCCTCAAAACTTTGATTTTTATAAATTTTTATGACTGTCAACCACTTCAAACCAATACCCCCTACCCAGTCCTGAAAACTTTGATTTTCATAGATTTTTAATAAATTCCTGAAAAGAAACTTGTTTTGAACCAAACAAAAAAAAAAAAAACATTGATGAAGTTCCAATAACATTCCATGGACCAGGCAAAAATTTCTTCTTACTGAAATGATAGTGTGGGAGTTTCCAATGCCATCAGATGTGGGAATTTAAAAAAAACAAATGAAACCATTTATCCATCTGATAGATTTTAAGAGATCAATATCAATGATTTGACTACCCCTTTCATTCATTACTCTCTCACTTGCTCTCTTTCTTCTGTATGCACCCTTTCTCACTCTTTTCTTATTAAAAGTTTACTCCTTTATTATTAAACTGTTTCCTTTTTGCCTAATTAAAATTCACATTTTAAAAATAAGGCAGAAAATAACTTTTGTGCTGATTTGGTTTTTGTCATTAGTTGATATTAAGGCAAATTTCCTTTTAATTAAATTCATTAAATAGTTACTTTTGATTGCTTTTTGGTAGTCTTCTGTTAAAAAAAATTTTGTTAAATATTTTGATAATTTCTTTATTGATATTTTAACACTGATAATGAAAAAGTAACAAGAATTTTTGTCAGATTACACAATTTTTATTTTAATAAATACGTAAATCTAATATTCAAAAAAAGATGTGTGCACTTTATGGAAAAGTTACTGTGCGTAATTGAAAAAATTTTTTGCTGACCAATGATTTATGGCTGATGAGAACAGTTGAGTTTGACAGTGATCAAGGGATTATATTTCATGGTAAAGGAAAGAACCAACATAGACTGGAAATCATTTACACCAACATGATTATATGAGCCACTTTGATGTATAGCTTTTATATTGGAAGAGAAAATATCCAATGACCAAAATGTTACAATAATAAGAACAATCTTGAAGTCCAAATGTAAATAACAAAGAAGATCTACTTGAGTCTATTTTGGTTGTTCAATTCATGACTTAAATGCAACAGACATTGTTATGTTTGATAAAAAGATCATAGTGAAAGCCAAATATAGCATTATGTTACAAAGGCAGATCTTCATCTAAATGAACCATCACTGATGTAGAAGCTGACCTTCATATACTGAAGCATCATTGATGCAAAGGGTGGCATTCATATAAATGAAGCATCACAAATTGAAGCAAAGTCTGGCCTTCATCTAAATGAAGCAAAGGCTGACCATAATCTAAATGAACCATCACTAACTGATGCAAATAATAACCTTCATTTAAATGAAGCCAATGCTGACCTTCATTTAAAGGAAACATTACCAACTGGTGCAAATTCTGACCTTTATCTAAATGAAGCCAAGGCTGACCTTCATTTAAATGAAGCCAAGGCTGACCTTCATTTAAAGGAAACATTACCAACTGGTGCAAATTCTGATCTTTATCTAAATGAAACAAATGATAACCTTCATTTAAATCAACCATCACTAACTGAAGCAAATGCTGACCTTCTTGTAAATTAACCATCACTAACAGATACAAATGTTTACGTTCATATAAATGCAGCAATGGGTTACCTTCATTTAAATGAACCCTCACCAACTGATGCAAAGCCTGACCTTCATTTAAATGAATTGTCAGTAACAGAAGCAAGATAACACTAGATCACATATTTTTCTGGTGACCTGTCTAAAATAGTTACAACTTGTCTGACTGATTTTCACATATTAGACAGTGTCCAATATCTGTTAAATATCGTTTATAATGTCCACACAATTTTAATAAAATATTGCAGTTCCTTAAAAAATTGTAAATTGCACCTAGAGTAGTTATATGCTGTGAAAATTAAAAAAGTTTTTGTCACAGATTTGGCTGACAGATGAGAGAAGAAAAAACAGACATGTAAGTAAAGTTAATTTTGAAAATAATGAAACTGACTTTTTACTTAATAAATTGAATGTGAATAGTTTTGTCAACTTGTTTTGTCATTTTTTTTTTTTTATATCCATTCTTATTTGCTAATAGTTCTTTT